ATTGAAGTCTAATACAGTTTCTCATTATGAAGGTGGCCACCATATATCTTAGCTTCTTAGATTACAAAGGAACAATTTTTAATGGATAGGAACAGACTTTTTTCATTAAATGTTTCATTTAAATTAAGCAGGAACTCCAAGGCGATCATAAATTCCTAAACCCAATGACGGCATACATAACAAACCTATTTTCACCCATTCTTACTGATGCTGCCAAGACTTTACAAATCATTCTTGCAGTTTCCAGTGGGTCATCCTTTCAGTTGAGCCTTGCTATTTTTATATAACGTGCTTCTCCACAGTATCCACAAATCACTTTTTGATTGTTTTGAAGATAAATAGCTTTTACATGTGAGATCTGTGAGCCTAGACAGTAACACACTACAGGTGTAGCAGCTCTGGACTGCAATATTTAGTTGAGAGGATATCTTCCAGAAGCTTGGTCAGATCTCTCACCCTACTAACCACATCCTTATACGGGACAAGTTGTAGCCTGGCATGGAAATTATCTGATGAGAAGGGGCTTTTGTTTGGTGACTCAGCGCAAGAGGAATGTCTCCGCGTGTCACACCTCTGTGTTGACCTCCTCAGTCTGTGTCGGCTAAGCAGAAATCAGCAGATGCCACTGGAAGACAACGGCGCTCCAGTGCCCATGCCTCGCTGGTGATGTCATGGTTGCGCAGCACTTGTTGGGAGTCCAGACAGTGGAACTGGTCAGGCTGTTCCACTCGCTGCTGACGGGTCAAGCCTTCTGCACCTTATTATATCATCAGCTCTTATTACATCCATTGCACAGAGTGCCACAGACACATATGTTTGTTTTTGTGTATAGCAAACAAGTATGAAATAAATAGTTAGTCCAGTATGTTATAGGACTGTAATCTATGTTTAAGCACCTCTGAAGTCTCATTGTAATACCTGCTGTGTGGGTGCGTTATTCCGTACCCTGCAGACATTGTATATAATAATAACAACACAGGCATCTGATGTGACTCAGTAGTCCCCAGGTGCTTAACAAAAGACACGTGTTCTTCATTAACATGTGCTTCCACACTAAGGTGCTTTGAGAAGAATTATTTATCACAGACGACCTTCTCGCTTCCACTCTGTAGCTCAACGACCTTGTAGAGGTTTTGTAACGGCTGCATTTATTTGATCAAAAACAGTAATATTTAGAAATATTATTACAATTCATTATAACTGCTTTTTTATTTTAATATATTTTAAAATGTAATCTATTTCTGTGATGCAAAGCAGCCATTACTCTTCGTCTTCAGTGTCACATGATCCTTTAGAAATCATTCTAATGTTGAAGAGGAGCTCAAGAAGTATTTCTTATTATTATCAATGTTTCAAACAGTTGTGCTCCCTAATATTTTGTGGAGACCATGACAAGGATAGTTAAAGGATTATTCGATGGATTGAAAATTAAAAATGCGATATGCGATAACTCATTAAATAATGCGATATTCGATATGCGATACGATAATGCTTAAAGTGTCACATGCTCAGATGAAACCGTTTTACTCAGCTGTTGTGGAGTCAGTTCTGTGAACTTCTATAACTATCTTGTGTCATATATACCCAAAGACCAACCAAAAATTTATATATATATATATAATTTATTTTTTATTTTTTTCATGCACCAACAGTAATATTAACATTTATTTTTCAATGTATTTAGCCTTTTATTACATGGGACCATGTTGATTTAACCGAAAACTAGAAGACAAGAAAAGTGAATCATGGTAAATAATTGACCTTACCAACTGTATTATTGCTGTTGAAGTTTAAATCATAGATGTTACCAAAAACATCTGTTTCTTTGTGTGTGTTTTGCCTACCACCATATTTTTATATTACCTAGCTCTGCAGTCACATAAAGTGCCTTCGTGAGAGCTGCTGTTTTTGTTTGTTATTAGCAGAAGTCTTAACAGGTTTCATTTATCTGTAGAGGTGGGGGAGTTATTACTTGTCTGGACATGAAAAGTAGTGCTGTGCTTCATTGAAATAATTTCCGTTTTCACTGTCCTTCATCAAAGCAACCAAAAAACATTCCTGGAAAACTGCAAAACTTACAGAATTAAGCAATCACCCTCATAAGAGTGCTTGCACCATATGGCCAGCTTTTTAACCAATAAAAATAGTTTCAAATGAATCAAAAGCATAAATATTCTTACTTGAATTAGTGCAGCTTCTAAACTTGACTCTTAATGTTACTCAAAGGTCAAACAAAGAATCAGGTACTCTTGTTGCAACATCCTTCCTGTTTTTTATGGTTTAGCCAAAAATCTGGAAGTGGCCACAGAAAACGGCATAAACTTAATTTCTGTTGCTCTCAGACTACTCATCTCTCTCTTCTGACCCAAAGAAAGTATCATTATTTAGTTGGTGCTGGTGTTGTGAAGTAGTTGAAGATATGAGCTGGTAATCAAACAACATTGGAGCGCATTGACTTTGATTGTATTGACAAAAAACACAGAGAAACACAGAGTGAATAAATTATGACAAGAGTTTTTATTTTTTGGGAGAACTGTCCTCTTAATTCTAAATTGCTTCAGGAAGTCTGTCTTTAGAATCTCTTCGGATCCTACTAACTTCTGCCATTTCTTTCCCAGAGTGCCCTCGTACACTGGACAGCCCTAAAAGTGAAGCACGAACATGCACTATCAGCAGCAGACTAGCAGCCCTGAAAAAACAGAACGACATTGAATTGAAGGTGAAACAGGGGGCCGAGAACATGATCCAGATGTATTCAAATGGCTCCTCAAAGGTAGTGTGTACCATTTGGTTTTATTTAATGACTCTTTTCGCTTGAGGCTTTTTTTTTTTTTTTTTTTTTTACCAGTGATGTACAATGAAGGTTCTGTTGTTTACAAAGCACATGAGAGAACACTATATAACCATCTTGGCCCTGAACCAGTCAAAAGTTTGGAGTCAGTAAAATGTAAATGTTTTTGTAAGAAGCCTCTTATGCTTACCAAGGCTGCAATTGTTTGAATAATATAGTAAAAACTGTAATATTGTGAAATATGATTACATTTTAAAATATCTCTTATCTATTTTAATGTATTTTAAAATGTAATTTATTCTGTGATGGTAAAGCTGAATTTTCAGCATCATTACTCCAGTCTTCAGTGTCACATGATCCTTCAGAAATCATTCTAATATGCTGATTTGCTGCTCAAGAAACATTTCAGTTACACCGTTTAATATTTTTGTGGAAACCATGTTACATGTTTTAAAGATTATTTGCTGAATAGAAAGTAGCAGTATTGAAATAAACATCTTTTGGAACTTTTATAAATGACTTTACCATAGTTTTTAATCAATTAATTGCATACTTGATGGAAAATGTAGGCTATTCCTATCCTTAAAAAAATTCTTACTGACCCCAAACTTTTGAATGGTAGTGTATGTGTAAGCAATAATGGCCAACACGTCTATATAAAATACGTCTAAATTCTCTTGGATAGAAATACAGGCACCAGTACTACTGCTTTACTTCAGTGACATGAGTTCAGCTCCTGTGACTTGCCTGAGAGGTTGTGGTGCTGGTGATGAACTTATCCCCTCTGGCAACACACTCTCTCACACACACACACACACACACACACACACACACACGGTGCAGCCCTATGGGACATTAGCAAGGGCTAATGTCAACCAGGAAATGACTTGTATCCGGAAGCCTTTCCTTCTCACACATTCTTGGCACGGTAGCAGTCCCTGAAATATGTTTAGCTTTTGACCAGCTTGCACAAGAGTGCTACCAGTGTTAAACATTTTACATAAATTAATTAAATAAAGTGAAGTAAAAAAATTTAAACAGATAATGAAAACTGAGTTTAGCAGAAAAAAAATTTCCTGTCACCGCATAAAATCTGTATTTGTTTTTGCATGTCTTGATGTAATGCCTCTGTTGTTGAACTTGCAGGACAGAAAACTGCTTGCAACAGCACAGCAGATGCTTCAAGACAGCAAAACCAAGATCGAGTTCATCCGAATGCAGATTCTCAAAGCCAGCCAAACCAGCGAGCTCAGCTTCGACAACAATGATGTCATTGGTAACATTCACACATAGTTCCTCCAGCATTAGCATTCACAGTTCAACAAGCACAAACAATAAATATATCTGTGGTGTTGTGGTGCAGCCAAACCCATCATCAGTCCTCTGGACCTGCGGGTGGAGGAACTCTGCCATCACACACGGATAGAGTACGCTGTGGCCGAGGGGGCCAAGAATGTCATGAAGCTGTTGGGCTCTGGTAAACTGGCTGAGAAAAGGGCTCACTCAGAGGTATTTTCAACTGTACCGTCATCATCATCACCTTCTGAACTGACCACGTTGATGCATCTGACCTTTAGCACTATTTTTAAGTTTTAACCCTTTGACCTTTGCAGTCTTGGAAAAGAAGGTGGCCAGAGAGACTACCAGCAGTGTATGAGAGCTTATTTGTGTGAAATTAAGAATTAAATAATTGAGTTTATTTTGTAAGCTTGCTTGCTTGTAGGTGTGAAATAAAAATCAAATAATGAATATAATAATTTAATTTGTAAGCTTGCTTACTTGTAAAGTAGGACATAAATCAAATAATATATTGGTGTTTTTTTTTTTTCAATTTTGTTTGTTTGGTCCAAGCCTCTACTCCATTTCAATTGAGAATATCTCAACAGTCATTTATGAGCACCTTTATGGTAAACATTTAAGCTAGGCTTTTAAAAACTCAACATGTGGATAAGTTAATAATGACAAAGTTCATTATTGGTGAATTGTTCTGTTAATGCCATTTTTCAGTTTAGCATTTACAAGGTAAAGGTGTGGCCACATTCCGTAAAGTTCAGCAAATATTTGCTTGCAGAAAAGGTCCATAGTCTGTTGTCAGTAGTGTAGCGATGTATGAAGCACAGCTTACATAGAAGTTACTTTCAAACCAAGCAGCTTTCTGTTCATCAATGCAGTGAATTTGCGTGATCAACTTGAGTACAAGGAAAATCTGTGTGCTGAAACTGCGCGGATTTCTGTTGCTATCACTGGATTTCACCCACAACATTTCAACAAGGAACAGTAAATGTGACTGCACCTTTAGATTCATATCTATGCATCCAACTGCCATTAATTCCTCTGCTGTAATTCTGTGAAATCCAGGCCCAAGCCAGGTTTAATGAGTCCAGTCAGAAGCTGGATTTGTTGAAGTATTCCCTGGAGCAGAGACTCAATGAGCTTCCGAAGAACCATCCCAAGAGCAGTCTGATCATGGAGGAGTTATCGCTTATATCCTCTCCAGCCCTCAGTCCTCGCCAGAGCTTCATATCCACACAGAACCACAACAGCACTGTTAAAAACCAGTACAGCACCAAACCAGCTGCACTCACAGGTGAAATTACCTTCAGATTTACCTTAATGTTATTAAAGTGTTATGAAGCTGTAAACTGGGGTCAGTAAGATTAAAATAAAAAAAGATATTCAGCAAGAATGCATTAATTGATCAGAGGTGACATTAAAGACATTTAGAATCTTACAAAAGATTATGATTCTTTTTAAAATAGATGCTATTCTTTTGAACTTTCTGTTTGTATCCTGAAATAAAATGTCATGGTTTCCAGAGAAATATCAAGCAAACTGTTTTCAGCATATTAGAAATGTATCTTGAGCATCAAAGCAGCATATAAGAATGGTTTCTGAAGGATTATGTGACATTGAAGACTGGAGTAATGACTGCTGAAAATTCAGCTTTGCCATCACGGGAAAAAAGTACATGTTGAGATGTATTAAAATAGAAACCATTATTTTAAATTGTAATAATATTTCACAATACTACTGTTTTCACTATATTTTTCAAATAAATTTAGCCTGCGTGAGCATAAGGCTTCTTTCAAAAACATTAAAAAAATCGTACTGACCCCAAACTTTCAAATGGCAGCATATTTTAATGGTGATTGTTATTGACTAAAACAGGCAAATTAGAGGTTCGGCTCATGGGATGTCAGGACCTGTTAGACAATGTTCCTGGCCGTTCTAAAGCCACATCGGTGCCGCTGCCCGGTTGGAGCCCCAGTGAAACGCGCTCCTCTTTCATGAGCCGTGGGAACCGCAGAGGAACCAGCGTTCGGAATCTCTCCAAAAATGACGACTTGTCCAGTTGAGTAGTTCTTAGTGCTTACTTTCAAGTGGCTTTTCACCAGCCTTTCATTTGACTTTGCAATTAAAAAGCAAAGCTGTGGCAGTTGAGAAGCTTAATGTGTGTTATGTGTCTCTGTTTGTCTCCAGATGAGATTAGTGCTGTTCTGAAGCTTGACAACACTGTAGTTGGTCAGACCAATTGGAAACCTGTCAGTAATCAGTCGTGGGACCAGAAGTTTACATTAGAGCTAGACCGGGTAAACTCACTGTACATGATGTTTATTTATGCATAAAACGCTTCTGGGTCTTGTTTATATATACTTTGGCCAATGTTTGTTTACCACAGTCTCGTGAGCTGGAGATCTCTGTGTATTGGAGAGATTGGCGGTCCCTTTGTGCGGTGAAATTCCTGCGACTGGAGGACTTCCTGGACAACCAGCGGCACGGAATGTGCCTTTACCTTGAGCCACAAGGGACTCTGTTTGCAGAGGTACCTTTACAATATTGTCTCTCAGCGATCAATACTTTCCCACAAAGAGCCCTCTGATTAGCAGCCCAGAGCTCTGTGAGAAAATCAAAGAGGAATTCCTGATGCTCAGTGGCCCCTGAAACCCCCCGGGAAGGTTTTCCCACCTTTGCTTCTCTAAAGAAACTGAGCCTAGTAGATCTGAAGTGGAATTTGATTAGTTTTCAGAGCTTAATCTAAAAGCCATTTTTGTTACAGGTTACCTTTTTTAATCCAGTCATTGAGAGAAGAACCAAACTCCAAAGGCAGAAAAAGATCTTCTCAAAGCAACAAGGTGAGGGCATTTCTTCGACACGGCAGAGTATTATTGAAAAAATGTCAAAAGGGTCATATTAGGGTTTCTTGAGCAAAAAAAAAAGTTTGAAAAATAGCTTTGTTAGGACCATTTGCCAGACCTATAGAATTAAATTGTGGCCTTTTTTTTTTTTTGGTGGTGCACATTCAAGATTTGTATTTGAACACCCAAACTGCATGTAATATGCATATTATGCAAATTGTCTGTATGTATAGAATTACCAGATGACCTGCTGTATTTGCCAAAAAGTAGTATGCAACAGAGCATACTGTGCTGGGTAGAGTATCCCACAATGCAGTACACTCATCATTTTATTTCCAGTGTCAGTGATGAATCTAAAGTAATATCAAATCACATCACAGGTTTCTTTATTATTTGACTGGACTTCCAAAAGTTAAAATGCTTTTACACAGAATCTGGTTAAATATCATTAAATATGCAAAATAACTACTTTTTTCCAGGATGATAGTTGGGCACCTGTTATTGAAAGACACTTTGAATGGGGATCACATGAGAAAAATCTTGTATCACATTTTAAATTACTGTTCAATTACTTTTTTCGCTGATAAAAGGCTCTTATGCATTTGTTTGATCAAGCATACAGCAAAACCAGAAATACTGTGAAATATTACAATTTAAAATACATTATTACAATGTAAAACTTTCTATTGTAATATATTTTAAAATGTAATTTATTTCTGATGCAAAGCTGAATTTTTCAGTAGCCGTTACCCCAGTTTTACAGATGAGAACTTTTGTGCTGCTTAATATTTAGGTGGAAAGTACAATACTTAATAATAAATGTAAAATGTAATAATTTTTTTCAAGATTCTTTGATGAAAGTTCAAAAAACAGCATTTATTTGAATTAGAAATCTTTTATCCACCTTTTTCCTACATCCTTGCGCAAATTATGAGAGTAGTGTCCGTTTACATTGTAAACAATCAGCATTTTCAAAAACTGGGTACAATGAGGTGACATTATTTTACTCACCCTTCAACAATCGATCATTAAAAGGAAATTTATAGTTATAGTTATAGTGTAAAAGCATTAACAAATCACTTTCAACATAACATAAATAACTCCTAAAGATCCTCCTTCTAACCGCAGCAATATTACGTACGTGTTAAATATCATTATAGTAATAGATGTCTATATTTGTAACAATGACATTTTACAGCATCCGTGTGAAAACAAACCTAGAAAGAGACATGGATTTGAGTAGAAAAATGAAACATTCTTAGTGCATTCCAGGGAATTATTCATCATTTATATCGGAAAATAAATTAGGAGAACAGATCACAAATGCACAGTATATGTTGGCAGCGGAATACAGTGGAAACATGAAAATAATGCAGTGGGCTGAAAAGAGCTATTCTATAGATATTGTTTTTATATCACGTCACATTAATATACCAAACATAACGTTATTCTCCTGACTTCTGAAAATAGAAAATGAATGAAAATGTACAGCCCATTCAGTCAAAAGGACGGATAAGGATTATTTGTATCGCAGCCTTATGATCTGAAATGATTTGTTGCAGTCTTTTTGAGTGGAACTTCCCCAAACCGAAAGTGCCTCCCATAATTTAAAATGCAGTAGGCTCTTTAGGAAAGAGGTGGATAGCATTATAAAATTCATTACTGTCGGTTTGATCAATTTAATGCATCCTTGCTGAATCAAAGTATTAAAGGGATAGTTCACCCAAAAAAGAAAATTAGCCCATTATTTACTCACCCTCAAGCCATCCTAGGCATATATGCCTAGGGGTGGCACGATACCATTTTTTCAGAACCGATCCCGATCCGATACCAAAAGTTCTGAGTATCGGACGATACCGATCCGATACCAGCACTGGTCTTTTTTTTTTTTTTTTCCTCTATACCTCAGTGTGTGTTGACCTGATCATCACTCTTTTGTGTATTACACACATCTACACAACTTCATTATAAAGAAAAATAACAAATTAAAAAATATATAATCATAATCTATGAGAAAAATGCTATTATAAACTAGGTTAGTGGATAATTCAGCAGCAAAAGTTACTCTACAAAAATTATGAGTTCACAATAATTTTATAAAATCTAAACATTTAGAGAAAAAACATTATTTAGTGGGGGAAAAAATAAAAGTAAATAGGTGTAATCTGTTAAAATGTCACATTGCTCTTTGTATTGTAATATAGATTCATGAAAAACAAGTAAATATAATTATATATAAATATATGCAATAAATTAAATACATTTCTTTTACATTTATAGCACAGTAATGAGGCAGCAACATAGATAAGACAGAACAAGAAAGGCTATTAATCTTTCATTGCGCAAAAGTATTATAACATGATGAAAGGCTCCTATGGAGTGGCACAAAGCGCTTATGCGCATCCCGTGCGCAGAATTGCAGCGCTCCGCAAAGAAAAGTTCAAAGCACAAAGGGAAGAGATTTTGATGCGTAGTGTATTATATCTGTGCGATAGTTTATTGAGCCTTTTCTTTTAACAGTTTTCAATTTCAGTTCCTGTGTGCGTGAAGAACAATTCATAGTGCTCACTACTCCAGTGAAGTGATCTCTAACAGACACCAGGTAGAAAGTAATGTGATTTAGAATTAGCACTAAACTCCAGCAAGATGTTTGTTTACTGCAAGACCGTTTGTCTACAGATCAAGTATAATAATAGGAACATTGTATCATCCTAGAGAGAGTTTCATCGTCTTGACTGTCGTAACAGAACGTGACATGCAGTTTGAACGCTGAATGGAAGATGACTGACAGCTGCAGCGGAGAGAAGAGTTTACGTGAACTTGAATTTAATGACTTAAATATTCATCTGTACCTCACATTAAACTATGGAACGGTCTCAGAACACTTGAAATATAGTGCACGGAAACTTTATGGTGCTTTATAATGTTATTGTTCCTTTCGTGGGGTTAACAATAACACAGAATAGTATACGCACAATATCGGATTTGGATCGGTCTCATCTGACCGATACCCCGATCCAGCAGAAAGTGACAGTATCGGAGCGATACCGATCCTGAATATCGGATCGCCGCACCCCTATATATGACTTCCTTCTTTCAGATGAATCCAATCGGAGTTATATTAAAAACTGACTTTGAATTTCCAAGCTGTTTAATGGCAGTCAGCGGGTGTTGCAGTGCATCAGTCCAAAAGAAGTGAAATAAAGCACATCCATCCATAATAAAAAGTGCCTCACATGGCTCCGGGGGGTGAACAAAGGCCTCCTGTTGCGAATCGATGCATTTTTGTAAGAAAAATATCCATATTCAAAACGTAACAATCACTTTAATCTAGCTTGCGTCAGCAGTTGTACATGGAAGCAGATGACGTAAGATGTCGGCATTGCGCATGCGCCGGTGAGTCTTGTGAAAACCAACGTTTGTTTACAGGAGCAAAGGAAGAGTACAACAGTGAGCGCAAGCTAGATTAAATTGATTATTGTGTTTTAAATATGGTTATTTTTCTTATAAAAATGTATCGATCCGCTACAGGAGACCTTTGTTCACCCCCCGGAGCCGTGTGAGGCACTTTTCATTATGGATGGATGCGATTTATTTCACTTCTTTTGGACTGATGCATGCAACACCTGCTGACTGCCATTAAACAGCTTGGAAGATCAAAGACAATTTTTTATATAACTCCGACTGGATTCGTCTGAAAGAAGAAACTCATACACCTAGGATGCCTTGAGGGTGAGTAATTCATGGGCTAATTTTAATTTTTGGGTGAACTAACCCTTTAATTTCTTTAAAAAAATTATCTTACTGACCCCAAACTTTTAACGGTAGTGTAGGCTGGCTACGGGTTTGTGTTTGGGTCTAATACTGGGCAGGCTGTTTTTATTGTATTTATTTTTGTAATGTAACAAAATCTTAAATTTCATAGCAAGCTGGGGAGAAAGTTACAATATGTTTACATAGAAATTCAAACGGTTTTATTTCAAACAGAAAATGTTAAGAGCAGTTAATAAAATTAAATATTAAAACTGTCACAAAACAAATTATGGGCCACTTATAAATAAAATTAATTTTCATAATACAGGCATACTGCTTGTAATAAAGCAAAACCGTGATTTATTCCCACCTGTCAACAAACCTGGGCTTCAGTCCCAAACCTGCACCTGCACCTTCTGAAAGCTTTCCTTTGTGAAACACCATTTGGTTTAGTTTATGTTATTGTCATTGTAGCTTCTTGTTTATATTACCCTGATCTCGAAGTAAAGAGGATTATAGGGGTCTGATAAATGTGTTTCTTCTCTTCTCCCATGTCTGCAGGGAAACCGTTCCTGCGGGCCCCTCAGATGAGCATCGGTACATGGGGCCGGCTGGTGAGGAGGGCCATTCCCTCTCCCAATAACTCATTTAGTCCTCAAGTGGCAGAGCTGGCAGCTGAGACTGGACACAGCAGTCACCCAGGAACCCCTGCTCTGAGGAGGCATGAACACACAATATAATGAACACACTTACTTTGTTAAACCAGTCATTAGGCAGTGCTTTCACGTGTCTGTTTGTGTTTGTCTGCCCTCTCTAGTGACCCAATAGTGACAAAACTGGACTTTGACAAAGACGCTACACCAAAGCATTACTCTCCTGTTAGTATAAGAGAAGTCTTGCCTGAAGACAAGATCCCCAACAAAGAGCAAGAACGGGTAACATCACACACTATCATGTGGTTGTTGTAGAGATAAGCTGTCCAGACATCTGTGTTGATGTCATCTGTTTCCTTGAAAGCACAGTTAAGACTCCTTTAAACTCTGTGGATAAAGATCTGAAGCGGACATGTAATTCATGTTTAGTCTCTCATCTGCCCCCTTGCATTTGAAAGGAAAAGGAAATGCCTTCACCGTTACCTTTATTAACATAAAGATAACAGCTATCCAGTGTCATCTTGTATAAACAGCGGCAGCTGAAAGGCTTATGTTCTTCTTTTACAGGACTCTTTGACTTCATTTGACTACCGAAATGACAGAAATAGCATCATTGTTCAGTCTGAGCTTGAAGAAGTCGTGGAACATGAGACTCAGCCGTCAGCGTTACAGCTCATAACTGTCCAAAAGAACACAGAAATAAGGTGAAGTATTTATAGTTTGTCTTGTATTGGCAAATATACACTCGACATTACTAAAGGACTTTTGTTGTTGTAGGGATGAAGAGGAGGAAGAACAGTTTAATTTCAGTCTTAAAGACTTTAAATGTGTTGCAGTGTTAGGCCGTGGCCATTTTGGAAAGGTATGAGGGTATTTACAGTTTCCTTTTTTTAGTGGTGATTGCTAAGGCAATATCATTTTTGGATATTTAGGTAACACTTTAAAATAAGGTTCCATCAGTTCATGTTAGTTAATGCATTGACTAACATTAACATTAAATAACCATGAGCAAAACATTTGTTACAGCATTTAATGTTAGTTAATAAAAATGCAATTGTTTATTGTTAGTTCATGTTAGTTCATGTCCATTAAATAATATTAACAGATACAGCTATAGATTTTAGTAATGTATTAGTAAATGTTGATTTAACTATGATTAATAAATGCTTCAGATGGGTTTTTCATTATTAGTAATACTAATTAATTAATACTAACAAAATAACAATTTTTTATATTGAACATTATAATATTGTGATGACTTAATTTATCAGTCATATTTAAAATGTTTGATTTTAGATTTCAGTATTTTATTTTAGAGACATTTATATGTAATATATATATATAATATATTCTGTATTATAAAAATAACATTTATTTTATTTGATATGGACCATTTATCGGTTATTGTTCACGAAAAAAAAAAGATCAGTTTGTCAGCATCTGACATTCCTACTTTTTTGCTATTAACTTTAGGTAACACTTTACTTAAAGCCTTTATGTATAAAGCATTATAAAATTAGTTTTAATGCATTAATTATGCCTTGTAATGCACCTTATAATGCATTGTACAATCTCATGAATAATTGTAACCACAATTAATACATTATAATAACACTTATCAATTCATTGTTGCACTATGCATTTTAAATTCGGTTATAATTATTTTCAACAAGATATAATGTATTACAACGCACATTATGAATGATTATAATGCATTATAGCCTTTAATAACCCTTTATTTTACTTTACTTAAAGCCATTATACATAAAGGCTTTAAGTAAAGTGTTACCTAACTTTTTTATACGTTTCTTTTTCTGTGACAGATCATACAGCTAGCAAAAAATGCTATATTTACATTTAAAGAGAGAATGATATCTTTACCAAGATATCCTAGAGACTTGAGGATGGTCTTATAGGACTAGTAGACAACCACCCAAAATGCCCTAACAACCATATAGCACTACATATACCTTGACAAATACCCTAAATAGTGACAGTGACTTTTCTAGAAGGGAAACACCACTCACAGAATCTAGTTGTCATTAAATCTGTTTTCACCTTTGCCTCCAGGTGTTATTAGCGGAATACAGTATTACAGGTGAAATGTTTGCCATCAAGGCCCTTAAGAAGGCAGATATTGTCACACGTGATGAGGTTGAAAGGTAAATTGTTCTTCTCTGTTTTATATATGATAATTTGTGAGCAGCACTTATCAACTACAAGCTGTTTGGTCTCATTTTATCCTGTCTTCTTTTCTGTTCTCCCAGTTTGATGTGTGAGAAGAGGATATTCGAGACTGTGAACAGTGTGCGGCATCCGTTCCTCGTCAATCTTTTTGCATGTTTCCAGACCAAGGAGCATGTGTGTTTTGTGATGGAGTATGCGGCGGGAGGAGACCTCATGATGCACATTCATGCCGATGTGTTTTCAGAGCCGCGGGCCACGTGAGTGACACAAAAGTCATGCTTTTAGATAAGTCATTATTTAAATCATCAGCCTTTGTCATCATTACATGTTCTGTTGTTGTTGTTGCAGGTTTTATGCAGCCTGTGTCGTCCTGGGGTTACAGTTTTTTCACGAGCACAAGATTGTATACAGGTATTAGAAAAGATCTGTACTTAAAGGGGTCATATGATGCGATTTCAAGTTTTCCTTTCTCTTTGGAGTGTTACAAGCTGTTCGTGAATAGATAAGATCCCTGAAGTTGCAAAGACTAAAGTCTCAAAACCAAAGAGATATTCTTTATCAAAGTTAAGACTCTGCTACACCCCCCTAAAACGGCTCGTTCTAACACGCCCCCACATATCTACCTCACTATGTGGAAATATTTGCATAATG